TACGCCGTCTCTACGTCACTCCTCCTCAGTCCAGATATGGTCACTTCTGTTTACTAGTTGCAAAAAACCAACATGGCGACGGCCGTAATCCAAGATGGCGATGGCAAAATCGCGGAACTCGAGGCTTCAAAACATCAGTCCAGTGCCATCATGATGACTACGTCCACCTCTTACATACAGTCTGTAGTCTTTAAGTTTATTTTTTACTTTTCTCTTTGACTGACAAACATTTTACAGCAGAGAGAGAGGCCAGCCACGGATTATAGTTTTGGATTAACAGACGCACGCCAGAGGGATTCAAAGTGTTATACAACTAAAATAAATATGGTTTACACAACATGTTAATCAGCATCAGTGGAGGAGGAACGATGTCTGCAGGACGCTTTAGTGCAGCGGAAGCACCGACTTAGTGCTGATCCATCAGCCTCACATTGAGCAGCAGGTCACCAGTAACACTGACATGTGTCGATGCTCACATACGGTTTACATTGCTGACAGTGAAACCTAGCTGGTTGGAACATAGCTGATTGGAAATTTCTTCAGTCTTTACAATCTTTTCTGTAACTTACAGAGCTCCTGTCAATCACCAGCTGAACAGCAATGTATTGTTTTGTGAGTATGTGTATGCATCATCATTACAGCATAATATTGTCCTGGAGACAACATTTCTTCATATAACGGTTTGTATTTTTTGTGCGTTTTCCTACAAAAATCCAGCGAAACGTGTAAATTTTCGCTCGTTACATGAATACGGTCTTTTCAAAATAAACTTCTGTCTTCCCACAAAACTACTTAGTTAGGTTTAGTAAAAGATCGTAGTTTGGGTTAAAATAACGTTAGTGGCGTTACTTGAGTACGATTGCTACGTTTTGTCTCTCGGGTGAAAAATCGTTTTGTTAGTTGACCCATTGACCTCCACCTGCCCTGTGAGGGTTCTGCTGTCTCTAGAATAATTATACATTTTATTCAGGAAGTGCTTTTCAAGAAACTCAGACACTTTACAAAAGAGATTAAATAGAGAGAAATGTTTTGAAAACATACATCGCAGGAACAGACAATTAATCATTTTCGAAAAAAACAAGTAAATTGGTTAGAGGTTCAAATCAGACTTTTAATCCGAAAGTTATTTTTTTCCTAGTTCATGATTTCATGGATTACATACAAAGCTCCATCTCCTCTTTGTTTGTCTGCACACTTTAAAAATGTACCGATTTAATAGTTTCTGTGTCGGGTCAGCTCGTCATCTCGAGTGTCTGCAGGAGCGAGTGAGCCGTCTGCGTCAAACCTTCATGGACTCACAAAGCTGCTGAGTTATTAATTTGGTTGGGGGAGGGTTTAGAATCCAGCGGTGGTTATAACATGTTGAGTTTACTTTTCCTTCCTCTCCCTCACAATGATGTTGACTCTCTTCTGTTTCTTCATCCCATTGGGCGTCACTTTCATTTTCTATTTCACTTAATGCTTCAACACTTGTCTCACAGCTTTCCTCTCCTGAGCTCTAATCTTCTCTCTTGTCTTTACGTAACTACCCCCCCCCCCCCCTCCATCTTTTAATCACACTTCATTCATCTTTTGCCGCTCCGACCTCCAAAAAAGAAACGAGGCGTCTCAGAATTGGGGAGTGATGCGTTGTTCTCCTCGTTGGCTGCAGACCGAGGAGGCAGAAAGACAGACGAGGCTTTGTGTTTCCATCTGAGGAAGTTCTGTTTGGGTTCAGTGAGACAGAACCGAACATGGCAGGCGGCCTCGTCTCTGGCAGGAAAACCGCCGAACGTGTGAGGTTTCATTTAGGAAGAATATTGTATTTCACAACAGGAAGTGGGAGACATCCTGTTGGGCAACACATCTTGTTTGTTTTAACTGGCAGAGCTGAATATTGGGAGAGTCAGAGATTACAGGTTTCCTTCTTCGAGGACATCTTTTAAAAGAGAAGCCTTAATGTGCTGGAAAACAATTAAACATGTTCATGGGTTTCACAGCTACGTACGCTGAATGAAACAGGATGAATTGTCAGCAGAAGCAGGACTGCATATGGTTCAATCGGTCAAAAGGAATTTGTCACTTTTTGGCAAGTTTTTAATGGTTGATAACTGATATTTAAAGCACAATTTATTTAGATATTGTAATCCTTTAATAGTCCCACAGTCAGCAAATCTGCAGTGCAGCAAAGGAGACATTAAAGAAAACAAGATATAGTTCATCAGTAGGAAGCTAAATATAATAGTAAATAGACTGAATGGTTGAATTTACAATATTTCCCGTATGAAATAAAAACACTCGAGCCTTTAGACACACGACGGTTCACATGTGTGAACTTCAGTCACATGACGTTTAACGACGGAATGACATGGTCACATACGAAAGTGATTTAATGTGCGTGGAGGACCGAGCTTGCTGAATCCCACTGACTAATTAATGGATTAATTATTGCGTGTCTGGTGTAGAATCTGATCTAGATTAAAACAGTGTGGATGAAACACGCTCCCTTGTTTCTCCTCAGCATGTTTCTAATCTCATCTTAACCGCTAAACAATTCACTGCGGCTCTGTTTTCAATTACCTTGTGAGTCATATTTTCTATCTGCCATCACAACAAGGAAATAAAACATACATAAAGGATAAACCCACTCTGCTCTTAAAGTCACAGGAGAAGAACATTCTCAGGGTTCTCATGTACTGCTGCTCCATTTACTGCCTGTTTACTCTCAACATGTGGACCAACACAGGGCACTGTGTTCAGACTCCAAAGATCCTCCTTCAGATCAAAAGCAACCACTTATTTCACTAACTCCTTCCAAACCTTTCAGTCTTTGAAGTTCACACATCACATGGAAACTGAAGCATCCCTTGTGATCGAAAACTAAGGAAAGAGAACGAGGACATCCTGCACAAGCGCCTCAAAGGAACACTGATGACTCGGCACTTTGTTAGTGACCTAAATATAACTCCACACTTCATTCAAAAGGAAACTGTTGTTGTTTGTCTAGTTTGAGGGTAGAGAATAGTAAATGTAGATCTACTGTAAACAATAAACGGGACATTTAGTTGTAAATTACTTTACAATGCAGGAAACCTACAGGACACAATGAGATCTGGGAATTTTGGCGACCCTGTTCAATAAGACATACACTTAGATAATAAATAAATAAAAGATGAGAAAGTTATTCAGGTTGTCTCATCGTGGGTCAGTTTAGTCTTAAAGTCACGCGGCGGTTAAACCACGATCCATGATCAGTGGTGGAAAGTCATGAGTACTGTTTGCGGAACTTGTTATTTACTCCCATTTTATTCTACTTTATTTTCCAACTCCTCTACATTTGACATGTTGTATTGTACTTTTACTCCAACAGCACTTATTTGTATTGCTAAAGTTTCTTTGCAGACGACATCTTTAAATACACCCATAACATCAGTTTATAAAACATGATGTGAAATATTATTTAACAGTATGACAGATTATAAAGTATGATAGATCCCAAGTTATAAACTTTGAGATTCAAGTCCTAAACAAGTCATAATGCTCTCTTTACCAAATGTAATGCCATTCCTGTCTCTGGCTGTAATTTTGCATACTGCAAGTTATTTTTCGTTGACCACAGATTAGTCATTTCTTCCTACCGGAGCTCAGTAACATGTCGTTAGTTCATGTTTCTCTCCTTGGTTCAAACTAAGTGGATCTGGGGAATCGAGTGTCGACTTGCTGCGAACGAATAGCGTTAACGTGAAGTTGATCCCGGTAATACATTGATTCGTGGCACACGATACTTGGTAGATACTTTTAAATCTTTGGGGGGAAAGTGAAGTCATGAGTCGTTGATGTTTAAGTCTTGAGTCATTAAATTTGTGACTTGAGTAAATACTTCTACCACTAACAAAACTATTCTTTCCCGACTTGCATGACATTTGTGGGTCCTATTGGTCATGAAACATGTAGACATTGAAATCGTACAATACTTGTTCGAGCTGTATCTTACTTTACTTATTTATTCTCCTCCTCACACCGACTGTGTCGACAGTCTTTCATTCACTTTATGACATACAGTGACTACAGACATGATTGTATAACTCTAGTTACATAAGGAACTTCTATTTGTCTCATTGCTGAACAGGAGATAAAGAGCATTGATTATGGCGAGCAGGAGGTTTGTTAGATGTTTGTTACTGACTGAGAGAAGTTTTTCTTCAACATCGTCTTCACTAAAAACGATCTCTAATGGCGTCCAAAGTGACCAATCACCGTTCTTGTTGTCAACTTATAGCTGATTTATTTTTTTTAAACAAATACTTTGCAAAGTAATAAAACAAGTGCGTCTCTAATGATTACTGCTCCACAACTAATGTGTCAAAAGGTCTCGTTCCTTGAAAAAGAATCGACCTTTTAACCCAAGCTTATTGTCCCGTAAACGGCTCTGAAAGCTGAACTCCTTTCACCTCATTGGTTTAAATATTAAATGATGCTGAAACTGCAGCTTATTCTAATGTCACTAAATGCCAGCTAGGCTCCTAAAAATGCGCCGAGCGTGTAATTTCATGATTGGCGTCTCCGGTGGGACTCAAACCCCCTCATGACAGCGTTACTGCCATCAAACAGAGTGTGTTTACGACTTGCTGATACAATATTCCACATGGCGGTGGGACGGAACAAATGGGACAGGATGTTCCCTCCGACATGCAACTGAGCTGACGAGTCCTGAATCACACATCTAGTTCAAGTGTTAAGAAAGGTCTGCACACTCGGAGCTTTGATGCAAAAGAAAGACTAAAACATTAGATTAAAGTGCTCTTTTTGCTTTAAAGTACATCATCCACATTTCCCAATTGTCCCCATAACTGGTAAAAACAGTTTGTTACGCAATGCACCACTTAGCGTGTTAAAGGTTACAAGTAACTCACTTGGTTACCAGCTTATCTGCCTTTTTACTGCGCTCAAATAAAACATCTTGGTTGATAAGACAAACTTCAAACTCTTCTCACCACGTTGTTGTAGATGTGGATTTACAATCCCCTCTAAAGACTCTTTGATTCTGAAATGAACCGCATAATGAAAGAATTTATTAGAGCCGACAGCGTGATTTACAGTTCTTCAATAAAACAGATGAATGATTCACAGTCAAGAAACACAAAGAAACAAGAGTCAAGAATCCGATAGTACATGATGAGAAAAAGACGACTTTCAAGAGGAAAGTAAGGAGTCATCATTTAAAAAATAAACAAACAGAAACTGCTCTTCATCTCCTGCTCACATTAAATGTGGCATCCCACAAGGTTCAACTCAAGGCCCTCTGTTATTCTCATTATATATATGCTTCCCCTTGGATCTATCTTTGAGAAATACAATATGCTGGATCACGATATTGGATATCGGGCCAATAACGACTCAACTAGCTGGATCAGATATCTGTGACAATGAGACGATTTATTCAACTCCTTGTTTATGTTTTCATACATTTTATAGACACAATGATTAGTCGACTAATCCATCAGTCGATCAGCAGAAAAATAATCGCCAACTATTTTGATAATCGATGCAAAAATGTCAGAAAATGACAAAACAAGACATTTAAAGACATCACCTTGGACTTTGAGAAACTGGGACGGACATCCTTCACTATTTTCTCCCATTTTATCAGCAGATTAATCGATAATGAAAATGAAGAAAGAAAAGGCCACATTACTGGTCGGAAGGAGAAACACACCTACGTTTTTTTAACATTATGCAAGACTCGCATACCAACAGGTTTTTGGATAATCTCGAATATCACAACGTCGACCTTTCCCAGAAGGTGGTTGTAGAAATGAAAGATTGCGGCTGAAGTTATTCAGGTTATACACGACTTCCTGTTCACAGGAATATTAGTGGAATATTCATTTTCATCAGCCATGAAAACCACTAAGTGTGAATATTGTCTTTTTCAGATTAAGGGCAAAAAACAGGCTATTTTGTGCCTGTAACCGTACTTAGTGACATAATATTAGTGCAGTGTTTTACATCTGATAAGCCTTCAAACTCGTGGATGTGTGACTCAAACTGGTCTTCCTGGATTTATATCATCTGTAGACGTAGTAACATGCCTCATTGGTGAGAGGTTATTTCTGTTTCCTATTGGGTGTTAATTCATTCTTGTTTTTAATTATTGCTTTCTGGCTTAGTCTTCTCGTGACAAGACAATACAAAAGATGCACGTACAACACATGTTTAAAAATGATTCATTCAAACAATATTCACTTGTAAAGATGCAGAAACATGAAGAGCTGCTGGTAAAAAGTTATTTTTAATTGGAATATACGTTTTCTCTTTCACCATAAACACGTACACACAATCAAAACCTTGATGAAGTGGACTTACCGAGTCCTCTGGAGGTCTTTGTATCTTGATCCACTCTATCGACGGACCCTTCACCTGCAGAAATCTGTGGAAAATATTCTTGAAGCCCTCAAAGTCTTTCCTGGACACCTGGAAAACACAGGGACTTTATTTAAACCTTCATTCATCTCAATCACGAGTAAGATGATGTGTATGAATTAGGATAAATGAATAACATTATGGCCAATCCCTTTCAGAGAAGTCTATGTCCTCCTTCTTGGCTTTCTTTTTTTAATGTTCCTTTTACTGTATCTTATGACATCTTCATTTTATTAAAATTAAGCTTTTGTTTTATTGCTGCACTCATAAAAGACAAAACAAATCAGCTGTAGCCTCAGATGTGAAATGTGGGTTTGATCATCAATTCGACATTTATCCTCATTGAGATGTTTATCCTTTTAGGGGCTAAAAGAAGTCAAATTAAAAGTTAATAAGACGGCAAAACACATCCAAATATTGTCATTTCAAAAGAGAAAATTGTCCAGTTTTTGTGTTTTTTGCAGACTGCTGCTGCACGAGCAAATTTATTAATTAGTTTTTAATATATATATATACTATGCTTACATGAAAATAAGATGACAAAAAAGTAAATGGTAAACATTTCTTTTGATAAATAATTGATTTTGAATGTGTATTAAAAAGCAGCACAATGCATTACTAGAGGGTAGGGGTAATAAATAACTGTAAGTGGTCTGTCACACTGGAGACCTGCCCAGTGGTTCAAACCAGTGTGTAACTAAAGAGTGTGTACTCTACAGCTGTGTGTGTGTGCGCACTGGCTTGTTTAACTGAGTGTACAAAAAGGCTTTTACTGTAAACACTTTGAAATAAAAGTGTGTGTGTGTGTGTGTGTGGGGGGGGGGGGGGGGGTCAAGCAATCTCTAGTGGCAGCTTTGTTTTGTTTCTATTGAAGTAGAAACAGATGAAGTTCTGCTAGTTTCTGATGAATTTTGTCCACTGACGTATACTTTATGTATGCGTGTGCGTCTGTAAGCATCTAGGTGGAGCCCCTCCATTGGCACGACTCTACGGTATGTGTCACTGTTGTGTTTATCCAGCGGTTGTGTGCGACCCAAACCACCCCTCTAAATCACAACCACATGGTCGGAGAGAGGGTGAGATGTTGTACCTCTCGCTCTGCTCCTCTGCTGGTGTCCAGAAGCTTCTCCAGCTCCGTGTGCATGGAGGTCTCCAGCTGCTGCCGCATCATTTCCTGGAACTGAGCCATCCCTCCGTTGGCCACTCCTTTACTCAGACCTGAGCAGGAGAGAGAAGTTGGAAGACGAGGTCTTTAACACAGCTGCAAGCATACTTTGAATTCTGACATTTTCTTAACTCAAACCATCTGTTGCAGCCTCCTCATCTGCCTCTGAACACAAGTAGAAAAAGGGACTTTTCGTAAGTTCTACTAGGATTCTATTGCCGTCACAGAAGCTGGAAAACCCCCAAATTGTAATGGTGTGGAAAACTCAATCAAGAGGGTGCATCAGTCCTTCAACAGCTGGAAACTATTTATGTCATTTTACAAGTAGAGCAGCCACCTCTTCGTCGGTTAGTCGACTTATCGGTAGTTCTGGTCTCAGTCGACTGAGATTTCTTTTGTCGATTAGTCGTTTTTTAAGCTTCTTTCATGCTGAATGACGTATTTAAAAAGAAATGTATGAGCACATCTCTGGTAAACACAAGATTTAAAGTGGTGCTTTTGAGCAATTCTTAGTGGAGAAACTCTGATCTGACGATTCAATCAACTAATCTTATGAATGTTGGTCAACTCAGAAGTTCTTTGGTGGAGGACAGCTCGATGTACTAGCACAGAGAACTTAGTCCAGAGCTGCAAAGAACAATTCAGAGAGCTTTAAGAAGCAAAACATTTGATGTTTCCGGGTTCTGTGGGAATTTGCTGCTTTTCTTGTTCTTCCATTATTGCAAAATCTACTATTTGGTGGTTTTGGTCAGATGAGCCAGCACCATCTGTGCGTCACCGTTTCATTGCTCATCCGTTGGTCATCATTGGGGATGTCTGAGCAGGTCTGAGTTTTGGTATCTCGGCGTCGTTTAGAGCTCGTTATCAGAAGCGACAATGCCTCCAATATTGTCAGAGCTTTTGCGTAACGCATAAATATAGTATATGGCGCATAATATATGGCTATAAAACAGAGATAAGACTCAACACTGGAGAAACCAGGAAATGTAAAAAAAGGCCAAGTAGACATTTGGATGTGTATCTCAGTCCACGAGGAGTTTTTAGTACATTACATGTTTAAATCTCACTTTATAGGGTCGATATTAGATCATTGCACTACAGATATGGTGACATCAGTTTAAGGTAGTTAAGAAACAGCGGAGCCATTCATACATTCGATTTTTAACAATCTAAAACATCAACATATGGCCTCATGAAACGCATATCGTTCAAATATTAACTCAGGCCAAAGACGAACCCTCAGCAGCTATGTAGTTCCCTCAGCTATGCCAGCGTGAATGGAAAACCTTTTGCCGTGTACACAATAATAACAATAGACTTTTAATTGGCAAACAAAACCAGTAGCATTGGTCACACTGGTTCACTGCGTTGGGATCTGACTATATGGCTTCGACATGTGCTGTGGAACAAAGGGAGTCAGGCCTTCCCCTTTGCAAGCAAAGGTTTCATCCTGATTGTAGTTTGAGCACCAAACCCCAACTCTGAAGAAATTCACATTAGGGTGTGAGTTTCCTCCCCCCAAAAACTATGCGTTCCTGAAGTCACCTGAAAGCAGCGCTGCAATCTAATTGGCCGAGAGCCAAGACACCCCAGGACCCCTGTGGTTCAGCCACTGTTCTACAAAACTACCTGCAACCCCCACCTCAATGCTTTTTCCCTTCGACCTCCGTCGAGCTAGGGACACACCAACGTTGTTTCCCTTTTCAACCAAATCCTAGGTCTAACAGTTTATATTCGCTGGCCGAATTCACCAAACTGTCTATTTTATCTGTGTTCGTATCCACGAAGCGAACCCCTTTTAGTCCTGCAGAAGTGAAGAAGTAAGACTTCTTCAGAGAGAGAGAGAGAGAGAACTTCCACTCTCCACCAAGCGCCTCGTTTGCTCCGGCCATAAGGACGCGAAAATCCCTGATCCAGATGACAGCGATTCTCTCCTACCGAGAGAACACCTCCCGCGGCCCGCAGCCGCGCTGCCTGGGCCCAACGAAGCTCAGAAGAACCCCTCAGAAGAACCCCCCTCAATCACCACGATTGCATCGTACCGTAAGGCGAAATAGAGTCTGGGCAGAGTTGGAGAGTTCATTTGTGTTTATTTTATCTTGTTCGTGTGCTTAAAGTACTGTTCATTTTTATAACGTGGTGTCTGCTTAATAATCACCGACACTAACGGTCGCTGAGATCGTTGGGGTTGTGGAGAAGCTAGTGTATTTCATGCTACCGTGATCTGTGTTGAGCTAGCCGCCTAGTGAGGTCGAAGTTGCTTCTCATCAGTTCAGGAGGTCAGAACCGCCGGCTGAGACAAAGAGTCGCGGTTCTTGCTCCCCTGGCTGAGAGAGCAATCTTCCGTACTCCCGCGCGGCGCAGATGATCTTAATCTTTTGTTTTATTTCATTTTGTTTTGTTCCTTTCCCTTCTCTTTTACTAATTCCCCCCCCACACATATATATATATATATATATATATAGCTTTGAGCTAATCTAGCTACGTGCTAAACGGCTACCGGCACGTATAGACGCCAGGTCTCCTGTTGGCTATCCGCCATTTTTGAGTCTCACGCATGAGAGACGTCACCACGTTCCAACTACGTCATACGTGGCTGAGCTGTTCCCTCGCTCCTCCCCCTTACGCACACACACACACTCACACACTCCCCCCCTCTTTTCAATAGTCTGTTGATTTTAGGTAGCGTGCTCATGAATGTATAGTTGTTGTTAGTTTAGATATTAGTTGACTAGATCATTAGTATTAGAATGTAATAAACTGTAATATTTTAAAGAGCAGCTGTCTGTGATTACTTTGTGCATGTGTATTGTGATAATAGCTGTATATGTGGTCTGTGCTTTACTGTACTTAAACCTTCACTTTCACTCTGAATGTGTAATAGTACTCAGACTATTGACATTGCGAGTGAACACTAATTATGAGACTTAGTTTTATTGTTTGGTTATTGGTCCCTGTTCCCAGGGTGGTGCCCCGTTATTATTAATAATCATTAATAATTGTTACTGACATTAATAATTCTATTGATGTCAAGAATTTAGTTTCTTAGATGCTGATAACCCAAACACGCTCCTTTAAGTTCCCAACATATTGGTGCCCCCTTTTTGAGGTTATGTTATTCCCAACAACTGCTGACAAAGTAAAATGTCACGCATTCAAAAGGACGAGAACGACAGGTAGGGCGAAATTAAATCACTATTAGATCAGAAGAAAAATGTGACTATACAATTACAACATACAGGTAGGTGTGGCTGCACTTGAACAGCGGTAACACTTTATAATACCTACACGCTATGAAGCATCAGTTAAGTATGAGTAAACACTGAATTCATCATTCATAAAGCATTCTTCCTACATTAACACTCATTAGTATGCTATTTATAACACTTAGAAATGTTTGACTCTTGATTAATACGCATTAAACGCATATTGTAAGGCATAGATAGTTCTCACTTTAGATGAGGTCACACAACACTTTACTAATGACTAGTAACTACTTGAGTAATCATGAATTGCAGTATTAATACGCGTTTATAAAGCATATATTAACATAGTCCCTAACCATTAGTGCATATCTAAATCATTATGTATATAAATGCATGAATAATGTACATCTAAATAAGTTCTTAATAATTTACTAACACTTTATAAATGATAGTATTAATCATCTACAACTCCTTAATAACTGGTTTGTAATATATTTAATACTTCATTTACAAATGGGGAATATATAATTTATAAAGTATGAAAACACAATCATGAAACACATAATAGACGAGCTTATTAATCAAGAATAAAACATTTATAACTGTTATGAATAGCATACTAATGAGTGTTAATGTAGGAACAATGCTTTATAAATGATGAATTAAGTGTTTACTCATACTTAATATCTTAATAGGAGCATTTATGAATTTATAGATAAAAAGGGATTCACATTACGGTTACGCTTTTTGGTTAACTTTCACTTTTTGTCATCACGGGCAGATAAAACAACCAGGTGACTGATGTTATATGTCCATTAATCTACTGCTTTAAGGATTCATTGCATGCATGAGTAAATGAGTATAATATGTCAAATAATAAATGCCCATCACTGTTTCATAGATTGTGAAATCTGTCATGTTTGCAGTTTTTTGTACCTCATCGTCCAATTTAATTATTTATAGATTATCATCAAAACTACAGTCATCATCAGCACATTGGGGGGGTTTTCTTTAGAACGCTGATTGTTGTATTTATGGCAGAAACGTGTAATTTACCAGCAGGCTGTCTGTTGATTTAACAGGAAGCGTAACATTTATAAAAACAGAAGTGGTGAAATAAAAACTAGTGAATACACTGGAGAACTATTTAACTTGTTAAATTCCAGCATGAGTGTGTGTTTACTGCCCATCTTCAATCATGATCATGTAGAGATATAAAGGATAATGTATAGAAGACAAGGATGGTGACTGAATAACTCAGGTACCAGAGCTTTGAAATAAAACTTCTGTACTAAGAGGAAACAGATTAGAGAATGAGGTTGGCTCTTTAGTAAGCAAAAACACATTTCAAAATAAAAGCACAGGTATGGCTCTTTTTTTAATTAAATGTTTATCTACTTGTACATAAAAAGGTTGAGAGTGGATTACACAACCTCTATAACACTACTTACCTTCTACATAAAGTGCCATGTTTAGAGCTGCCAGTTCAGCAATAGTTAAATAATAAAAAAATGTAAAAATAAGAGCTTCAAGTTAAATGTCCCAAAGAGCGAAGCGTCATTGAACGTACATCCAGTAAACTAGTTAAAAAATAATAAGGTGTCTTTAAAGCAGACGGGTCATGTATCCAGGTGTGTACAACCGGTCTCTTTTTTTAAAGTCCATTCACATTTAAAGCTCTGGAGGCGGAGACACACAAACATCCAGTCACTCTTAATGTTGTCTCTCCGAGCTGCGGCATAAAGTAGTCTCTGAACATGGATCTGGATCCTTTATCGGCTGCATCTCATTTTTTCCAGCCCCATTTTTTTTTTTCGTCGACCACGTCACAGTTCCTGCCTGTGAGGCTCTCGACGTCACAGTGTTTTTTATTACCCTTTCAGCCTCTTTTCTTTTTTTTTTGTACTGCTATCACATCGCCAATTATTAACCGACGAAACTCACACTATTGACCCTGATCCGCATGACCTGCGTGACGGGGAACTTCACACTAAGCGACACGGAGGCTGCGGAAATGAATGAATAATGGACGGAGTGTGTGTGTGTGCGTGTGCTAAGGAAAACAATTAACTCCCCTTCAAGTGTGTTCTCCCTTCATTTGTAACCCTTAGCTATAAAGATAACTGTAGCCTACGACGGTGCCCTGAACGCCACACAAGTCCCCTTTTTTCCCCCCGTTTTTGATTAAACGACCGCTGACGTTTAAAAAAACGACCGTTGGGCTAATAGCTAGCGTGACGATACGATCACGAGCTCCACTCGCTATGGGGTAAAATAAACCATCGGTAGTGTCAAGAGGCAAAGAGGTGGAATGTAATTCGATTTAAAGCCATGTTCTTACTGTGTGACTTGAAGGATGCTGGCGGAGGAAATAAGTTCGATAGGTCCTGCGAGTCTGACCGAAGGACACAGCAAAATACCGCAGAGGAGACAGCAGGGGTACACACACACACATATATAAAGATATATATACATATACCTTTATATATTTTTAATAGATTTTCACCTTAAAACCACTGGCTTCTGTTTACCGTTGACTTCACAGGAAAATTATTAAAAGAAATTAAAGAAAACACTTAGTTTGAAGATATTTTTGTACAGCAGTGCTCTTTCAGCCAATGGGAACGTTACAGGAAGACAGGCAGCCAATGAAAAGGTTGATTGCTCGTGACGCAGATTTTGACAACCAATAGATTTCTGCAACGTGTGATTTGCTTTCGGACATTTCCGGTATAAAGAATGCAAAAATAGTGATGTAAATTACACTAAGATAACCTCATTATTTATTAATGACCTTTGTACTTGTATAACAGCTTTAAAGTTAACATTTTAAAGAACATATGTACTATTATAATACGTAGTATCACAGTGATTGGGAAGCAACATCCCAGTAGATTTACATCATTAATGTTGACAGTGCATTGTGTTTTGGGTACATTTGTCCTTTTTAACGAGTAACCATTTTTAAACCAACACATTGTGACTTTATTATTATATAATCATTCCTGATGCTGCTGGGAGAGGGTAAACAACTAGTAAATACTGCCCCTGCCTGGTGAAACTGTGACACTGCGTTGTACTTCAGCTTCTGCTGTGCACTATTGTACTCGTATCACCACAATACAGGTCACAATATTTCAGTCAGATATAATTTCATGTAATCAAATCATGGGTTTTATTTGAAATATTTTTTTCCCCTGAATGAGGTCTAAAATATTTTAAAATCCCTGCTGGAAATGACTTTACTTTTTATAAGTAGTCCAGAATCAAAAGCATCAACATAACATTATAATTTTATACCCATTAGATAAACAGTATACTGGTCCTGAAACAATTCCCGGTCCACCTATTTATCCCTAATTATTATACTACAGGTTAGTGAAGGACTGGACGGGGACTGGGGGGGGGGGGGGAAACTAGCCTATTGGCTAAATCTGGCATATTTACAGTTATATTTTTAAAACATGTAGTATTCCTGAGAGATAACTATAAAATAAATAGAAGTGGTTTAAAACCCTAGGCTGGGTATCAGTCTCATATATTGTGTTGGGTGTATCAGAGTTAGTATATTCTATTCCAGCACGCAGATACAGGAAAACATTCACTAATTCATCCAACATGCATGTTGCTGGACTGCTGCATTGTGTCTATTTGTTTTCCTGCAAGTTCACACATGTAAAAAACGTGAAAAACACAACTGTTAAATGTTTTATTGTTCAGCTTTTAAAAGTGATCCATTCCAGTGTTTTGAGGACTCAGTGCATCGTAGACTATTTATATGTAACAACCATTCATGTTTCACTCACCCGCAGAGAAAAGAAGAGTATTGGTAACAAGTTAGGTGGACTTTCAGTTTGTACTGTACACTTAAGGGTGGAGTTATAAATCTAGCTTTACACTCAAACACTGACTCTCTCTCTCACTCACACTCACACACACACTCTCTCACACACACACACACACACACACACGTGGAGTGCTTTATCACAAGCGTGCGTCTGGAGTTTTGCGTCCTCCGTCTGAGTGTTGGTTGGGTGGCCTCTCGGGGTCTAGTCATGCTCCCAGGAAAGACACCGCTGTGTCTCTCTCCTCTATCAGCTCCGCCGCCGTGGCGTCCATCTTTGATTGGGAGAAGTCGTTGATGGCCAGGCCACCCACAATCCTGCAGGTCTTGTCCTGAGAAAACAAAAAATACTTTCATATGTGCACAGGACCGACAGTTATTAGGTGCATTCATTAACATACTGAAGGGTGCAGTCTCACCTTGATCTGGACGGGGAATGAGTAGATGAGGTCTTCTGGGACTCCATAGGAGTTACCAGAGGAGTAAACACCCATGGAGATGAACTCGCCCTGAAAATAACAAGAGGAGAATCTGGTTAAAACCAGGCAGCAACCTGAAAAGTGAAGTCAATGCTTCATGTCTTAAAGCTGCATTCTCTCTAATGCCCACCAGGGGGCGACTCCTCTGGTTGTATAGAAGTCTATGAGAAAATTACTCTACTTCTCTCTTGATTTATTACCTCAGTAAACATTGTTAACATGAGTTTATGGTCTCAATCTCTAGTTTCAAGTCTTCTTCAATACAGCATGATGGTCATTTAGTAAATTATGGTCCATTTAGAGTCAAACAGACCATAAAGCAGGGTATTTAGTGACAGACGCCGTATATACGTCTCTGTCAATCACTGTGTAGCCCCGCCCTAAACCACACTCTGCTTTATGGTCTGTTTGACTCTAAATGGACCATAATTTACTAAATGAACATCATCTCACGTCATTTTCTCATAGACTTCTATACAATCTAACAAAAAAAAAAAAAAAGAGGACTGAGGGTTTTGCCAGTTTAGTCTTTGTTACCAACAGGCAGACCCTCCCACCTCATCATGACTACAGAATAAATAAACACGGCGTTTACCTCGGGGGTGCCCGACCAGATGTCTCTCATGTGGTCACAGATGGCCTTGGCTGCAGACATGGCACTGGACAGCTTCCTGGCCTTGATGACTGCAGCACCTCTCTGCTGCACCGTCTGCAATGCGACAACACAGACCGGGACGTTACAAAGCGCAGCGGGCAGGTCAACGGGAAACGTGAGCAGAAGAGCCGAGCATGTCGGGTGCAAAATGCATCTCACAGTCCAATAGATTCCAGTAAATGTTCTTCACACTCACAGCGATGAAGTCTCCTTTAAGCCAAGCGTCGTCCTTCACCGCCTCAAAGCAGGCGAGCTCGCTGCCGGACATGTTGACCAGGCAGTGGTGCACGTCGGGGTACTGGGTGGACGAGTGGTTCCCCCAGATGATCACGTTCCTCACGTGGGTGGCAGGGACGCCGCAGCGCATCGCCACCTAGCAAAAAAAGTCCAGGTCTGTGAGTCTTCATTTGTAAAGAAAAAGAATAAAGCTGCAAACAAGAAAAACGCACCTGAGAGCGAGCCCTGTTGTGGTCCAGACGGGTGAGGCAGGAGAAGTTCTCTTTGGGGATGGAGGGAGCAGACTTGGCTGCAATCAGACAGTTGGTGTTGGCAGGGTTTCCTACAACCAGCACCTGCGCGCACACACACACACACACACACACACACACACACACAAATATTTAAGAGCCAAGATAATGGAAAACAACAAGCAAAAATAGATTAAGACCGGGATAAATAGAAAGGCAGCAGCAGACAGAAAAGTCTTGATTTAAAAGAAGTGAAGTCAGCAGTTTTCTGGGAGTCTGTTCCAGATGTACGGAGCATAAAACATGAGCGTAGATTTACTCGATTTATGAGAAGCTGTTGGTTTTATATCTTTTTTTTCTTTACAAGCTGTGACGACAGTAAATATTGTAGAACACGCTATCGCGTTCGTTTTTAAAGTCACATGCTTTGAAGTCAATGGATCTGGTAGAATTTAAGAGAGCACAAATTATTTTACTTCCTGGCAACGTACAAAAATGTTCTCAGACAGAGAGAGAGGTTCGAGCCTGATTTAATCTAAAAAAACACAACATCATCTTCATACCAGTATGAAGATGATGTGTACGTTGATTTGTGGGCTGAATTTATGGAATGGGTTCGATGAAGACATTAAATCGAGAGGAAAACGTACAACAATAGTCTGTGAGAGGTACAGGGAGGAGGAGGGGCCTCGTCTCTCTCAGGACTTTAGATGTTGTAAAAAGACTTCATATATTACTAATATATTAATAGTTAATATAACCCCTTAATATCATAGTTAGGTATGTGGTTAAGCATTAGAAACTAAACAGCAGCAACACACGTTTAACTCTCTGGAACATTTCTACACTTAAACTCTGCAACAGCAGCTCAGCCAGAAGCAGAAGAGTTCCACTGAAGGAGTGGACGTGTCAGTCGTGTCGGAGCGCGTCTGTAGACTCGCTCCTGTGTTGGTACCTTGACGGTCTTCTTGGCGTACTTCTCCAGAGCGGTACCCTGACTCTTGAAGATGGCCACGTTGGCCTTGAGCAGGTCCTTCCTCTCCATGCCCTCCCTCCTGGGCATGGAGCCCACCAAGATGGCCGCGTCCAGGTCGTTGAAGGCCACGTCCTCCTTGTCGGTGGGGACGATCTCTGTGGAGAAGAGTGTGGTGGAATATTTCTAGGTTAATCGGGAGAAGAGAGTTTTTGTTCACAAATCAATAATAAAGTCTTAACAAGATTCAAAGTTGTCTTTGTCTGTTTATTCTCTTGCAAGAGGGAAGAGAATACTACAGCTACGTATTCAGTAGACTGTGGCAAAGCTTCAAAATATGTAACACACGGGCTCCTTTATTCATACAGCAACAAGTTAGATTCAAAGTGCAGCCCCCACGAGGGGCTTGTCTGCTGTATCCAGCTGACTTTTCACAGCTTCGATACAGTCAAGGTAACATGAGGTGTTTAACCACCAGTTCTGATTACTGCTTAGTCTGCACTTTCTTTACTCCACGTAAGGAACAAGTTGTTCTGCCACTCTGCAAGTAGTTTTGCTACTTTTTCAGTAGCCATTTTCTTTAATAGATGACACGTAAGTTTTCAAGTTCACTGAGAGTTCACATTGAGGACACAAAGTTCAATTGTTCAATGCATATTTTACTATTACAAGAGGAAAGTGGAAATAAACAGATTCATACGTCACCATTTACTCTTTGTGTTTACCGTACAATAGAGTTACGGTAGTAAAATTGCAAAATGTGCTTTGATGTGTGTTTTTGCCCTATCAAAATAAAAGCTCCTCTAGTCTGTCCTGCTGTTGGATCATTTGTGGTTGACTCCTTTAAGTAGCTTTCAGTGAAAGTTAGGCTTTGATGGAGCAGGATGTGGAGCAACTTTCTTTCGTTATAGCCAGCAGAAGGTCAGTGTTTTGAGACAATTAATGCATAGGGATATAGAAAACTACGAGCTACGAGCCTCCTCATTGGACAGCTGACAATGGAAAGTAAAGCCTGCAAGAGCACGCAAGTTGGACATGGTGGTCTACACGAGTCAGAACCTTTTACATCCTGCAAGACATGCCATTAGATGCACTTTTTGGGGCAGACTGTTGGTAACGATCCTGTGTGTAACAGTAGTGCCGTCTCTTGGCCAGAAACAAGTTCTCAGTTGGGAGTTCCTGCTGACGTTAACAATAAAACTTGTTCAAACATTCCCTAAAAACAATTACAGCAGAGCTCAATCTTGTCGATCAGGACACTTCTCCTCTTAAATAGATAGAAACCAAACATCTCTTCTAAAACCACCCGTGCGTTACAGGTTTGAGGATATATCCATTTTGGACGTATCCTGTCTCGGTTGCACGGAGCGTTGTCTTTGCAGCGCAGTTGGTTAATACAGTCGGGGGGGCCTCTCACAGCTCCACGTCCAAACAAAGCAAAGGACGGCGCCGATTCAAAGGAAACATTCCAGGTCACAATGGAGACGGCACATAATGGCGCCTCACGACTGCTGCATGTCACGACAGCGGTTACAGTGATGACATCAAAACGTCCAAACTGGAAACCCGGTGGTCGTATTTATCGAGTGTCTCGGGGGGGAAAAAGGAAATAAGTCCCGACTGTAAAAGCATTTAATTAAAGTAAATAAAGTGTATCTGTCGCCAGTATTTAGCAGGACTGGTGAATGGTATTCTGGGACTATTATTATTAATACAAGAAAGATACCTTTTTGTGTAAATGATCAGGAAATTAGAACCCTACAATTTGTATAATATATATTATATCAATACAATTAAATAACTCCAAATAGGTTCTACAAAAACAGCAAATTGTACATTAAAACTGATATCTGATGCCTGTGTATCCATGAAATATAAGGATAATCTCCATCTCATTATTTTAACAGTGTTAACCACCTTAATATTTATGTTACCTCTCAGAAGTGGGAGAGCACAGTCCTGCAGCTCCATCACGACGCCGTCCAGGACCGGCAACATGGGCGTGATGTCCAAGAGGATCAGGACCACCGGCTGACAGACGGAGGAAAGGGGGGAAAAAACCCACACATACTGAAGTGAATTTAACTGACAGTTAAAAAGCATAACCTTCATGTATTAATGTCTTGGTGTTTGGAACAGAGTGTGAAGGCCGACGCCACGTGTCAAACGGATCAGGTGGTATTTTTAAAAGTCGGCCGTGGTACCAGATCCATTTCATTTGACTTCAAAGATGACCGTGACTCGTCTCAGGATGCAATCGGATCACTTCCCAACATCCGATTCAATGTCACCCTTTAAAACCTACACCAGCTGTTCACTGTGCATGTCTTTTGATACTGGCCTAATGAGATAAGGGAATTACAAAGATCCTTCTTCTTTACCTGATCTTTGCCAAACACATCTCCCTTGGCGATGCTGAACAACAGGGAATAGGCGATTTGCCCGGCAGCACCGGTCACCAGAACTCTAATGGGCTCAGACTGCAAGAAACACAAGAACAAGAAGTGCTGTTAGTGCTGCAGTGACGTCACTGAGAGGGACAGGTATGTGGGGGTAGTTTTAATTGTCCAGTGCACGTGGCGTGTCTATTCCGGTCAACAGGATTTACTAAAAGCAGGAGGAAGAGGGAGGGGGGTGCTTTAAAAATAGACTTTCCATGCAGGACTCACTGCTGCATAACAACAGTTAAATCCCCCAAAACTATGCAATGTAGAGCGTTAACACGAATACAAAATACAAAATAAAAGTCCTAACATTTTGGTTGTGTCGTGAGCCAGACTAAAAGTGTCGTTAAAAAAAAAATCTTATTGGGTCAATTGGAATAACTGCGACTTTAAACACGTTAAACATGCATTATTGGAATAGAATAATAACTGATATATACGCTGGTTTTACTCACCATGTTTGCACGATAGCTTGAGCTGCTTTCTCTCTGTCTCTCTCTCTCTCGCTCTCACACACTCTCTCCCACTTCTCGCTCTACCCGGAGGTCTCTCCTATTTAAATCCTTAGTTGTTCACGACACTTGTAACCGCCTGACGGCAGATTGAACATCCGGGTACTTTTATTTTTTGATAGTTGTGTGTCCAATTTTTAAAAAAAGTTATCCCTTTCTCTCCACGTCTCACCCTCTCTCTTTCTTTCTCTTTATCTCTCTCTGTACCTCTCTGTCTCTCTCTCTCCCACTTCTCACTCCTATGTCCTCAGTTAATCACGACACTTGTAACAGTCTGACGGCAGATTGAACATCCGGGTACGATTATTTATAGTTGCGTAGTCCAATTTAAAAAAAAATAAAATAAAAAAAAAAAAAGTTATCCCGTTGATGGTAACATAAGAAACATTGCTATCGATACTATTACCATTACCTACGCTCTACAAACATTCTTCGATAATATATGGCTGTTTAACGAGCTAGCTGGTTAGCTTGCTGCTACATAGATTACTAACAAGCTAGCTGGTTAGCTTAGCCCATGAAGCGCCGCTTGCTGTTGCCTAGCGACCTGATACCAGACGTTAGCTTAGCAGCTCGTAACAGGCAGATGCACAAGACCAGCACGTGCAGTCAGACGAAATTAAACGTTTATTTAAGTTGCAAAGCGGGTTAAGTTTGGATTAAGTTCGCGTTCACGTGTCGTCCTAATCAAACGAAGAAGCTTGTTTTTATTTTGCAGTTTTTTTGTCACTGAAATAATCAAGGTAAGTTAACTAACCTGTCTCACCTCTTTGTATCTCTGTGATAATGTTATTGTCAATGCTGTTAATAGAGAGACAGACAGACAGAGAGAGAGAGACAGACACAGAGAGACAGAGAGAGTGACCGACAGAGAGACAGAGTCCGTAATTACATCAATATCTAGTTCACATTTTATTTAATGTTTATTCAATCAATGCAACATCATTAACACAAATCAGCTACATATATTTTAATAATGTTTATTATTATAGCACATTTCATACAGACTATGTAGCTCAAAGTGCTGTACGTTTAAAAATTAAAACAGAAAACCTTAATTTTACAGATGAAATACATAAAAGTAAAACTTACATTTTAAGTGTAATTTTAAGAAATTCAACAGATAAATAAAAACTGGAAAACATTTAAAATGACAATTAATATATATATATATATATATATATATATATATATATATGATGGCATTATTATGGAGATGATTGAGTGGATTTGTTGCTGGAAAACTAATTTTATTGTTATAATACTTATTGTAAATTATTTTTATACAGCAAACAGTTTGTTAGCATGCAGTTTGATAGAACACAGTTAAAGAGTAAAATATATATTCACGCTTAATAAGAGAATAAGTAGAATTTGGTTTTCAGTGACTCGCGTCATAATAATAACACATCCTGCTGCTCTGTCTCTCAAACTAATGGCACTAAATCAGCCACCACTTCTTCATCCAAAGCCCCAAAACTGGCCCTGATGTCGGGGTCTCCACCTGCCAGTGACAGGGGCTGACACTGTGTGTGTGTGTGTGTGTGTGTGTGTGTGTGTGTGAAGCCTGAATCAGAGATGTTTGAAGCAGCTGCCTGGCAGTGCTCCTCTCAGCTCCAGTTACATTTCTACCCCTCTGTGTCGGTCATGGGTGTCAGTTTGGGACAAACGATATTCTGTGGTCTATTTCTTATGATGAGCCTTTTCTTCTGCTGCTATTTCCACTTTTGTATTCATTGCACAGAGAGGTGTGGGAAGATCTCTTAATGATGGTTCCTCATAGCTGGCAGTGAGCTCGTAGAGTGATCATCTATATGTAATATCTGTTAATAACCAGATGAACCTGCACGAAAAACAAAAAGGAAACTTGTGATGCGTTGGGAGAGCTCAACGGGAAATTCTACTACAAAGCCTGTACAACAACACACACATTACATGTTTTAAATACACACTTTCATTGTTAAGCTGATGTATAACTGCATAGTATCTTAATTTAAATATAAGGTGAATAAAAATGGTTTCAGCAACCAAAAGCTGATGCCAACCACTTATAAAAGTTTAGTGTTGAGCCCTGCCAGGCCTGAATAGTTTACTTTATATTATATATATATATACAGTATATATATAATATTCTGTTATTAACAGTGTGACATGACAGCGTTGCTCCTGGTGTTGAGTTAGCTGCTAGCTGGTGAACATAGCGGAGCTTCTAGCACCTAGAGACGGATACTTCCCTCTGGAGTTGTTGGAGACCGACTGCAGAACTAAAAGATGATTATTGAGCATTCGTTCGTCAGGTGACCACAAACATAACAGCGAATGAATGATAAACGTGGCTCCATGTGTGCTGGACGTGTGGATAGACTCGGCGCTAACACATCAACTTTACAAGCTGGTTATAAGTCAGTGTTGTGTTTCCTGTCTGCAGGAATAGTGCTGCTGTAAAACAATAAATATTCAGGTTATCTTTTGATTGCTTCATGCAGTTCACTCAACGTCACTGTGCGACGAAATATTGATCTCAAGTGTAAAAGTTTTAAATTGCAAAGTAAAGGTCTGTGTAGAGGAGTAAGAGTTAGTCAGTAGTGAGATATCAGGAGTAGAAGAGTGAAGTCACTCCATTAGATTATATTTTATTGAGGCCCTTCTCCGTCTTTTCCACGTATCATTATTATTCTCATATCATGAATTCATTGTTTAATAATATTTGGTTATTTAGTATCACTTTGTTGTGTTTATGTTAACAGATTTAAATCTAGCTGAGGGGAATGAGCGATGGAGGGTGACTTTGACATCTTGTGTATTTTTGTGAATGTGGTGTCAACAGTCGTCTTATTATTATAGACACATCGCTGTGTTGATGTATCTGGTTTTAGAGCCTAAACTGAGCTTTAAATCTGGGATTTGGATCAGAATATTGTTTGTCTTTGAAATATTCATCAGCCTTTCATATCCACAGAAATCACCTCACTGGTTTTTATTACAGAGACGACTTGTGACAGCTCTGACTTTACATCAGCGCCCATCTGAACGAGTCTGTTGTTTGTGTAGTTAGACTCGGTGTTTATGTTCTTCCTCTGGCAGTCACACAGTCAGGTTGTCGTGAGGGGATCAGACCGACTTCTTCTTTGTAAAAAAGGAAATCAGAAGGAAATAAAAACACATGATAATATCTGGTGCCAGTCTGCCATGCCGGCCCTGATCCTCTGTGTGTGTGTGTGAGTGTGTGTGTGAGTGTGTGTGTGTGTGTGTATGTGCTCTGTGAAAACAATCGGCATTGTGGGTGTTTTTCATCCCACCCACCGGCAAAGTTCACACATGCACGGATCCCTAAACTGCACACACATGCATGCACTTATGGAGCTCACGTGCACGCGTACAGAGAACATGTCACGCTCTGAGCAGATCTTGATAAGTTGACGTCTCTAACGTCTCCTCTCTGCTGACCTCTCTCTCTCTGTCCTCCGTCCACTCCATCTCCTCCTCTTTTGTTCCCTCTGTCATTCCACCTCCCTCCACCTCCACCTCTCTCTCTCTTACTTTTATCTCCTCTCACTCTGCTACTCTCCACTTGTCCTGCAGAGTGCACCTGAGTGACCCTGTTGAGGCAGATAGCCAAGCACTCCCCCCCCCCCCCAACCGGCCTCAGCATCGCCTCTTATCTGCTGTCGCTAGTAGACCAAATAGCTCTCACATTGTACAGGCAGAGATAGCTGGGGGGGGGGGGGGCGGGTTGGTTGCAGTCACACGAGCGCCGCAACCCACATAAATACGTTAAGCAACGTGCAACCACAGCGGGATCATTACATCACCTCCATCGTATTCAACATCTGCATCCCTGTGCCACCATCACCCGGCTCATCTGTGTCGTAGATCAGTCGATGCAGCTTTAGATCAGATGGAGCAGATTCATATTGTTTTCGTTGTATTGCCCACCCTGTAGTACACAGACGGTATGCGTGTGTTTGTGGCCCGGTCCTGTCGTGTGCTGTTATCTGCAGTAGCTGTGATGAGCCACTAGGTGTCAGTGTAAGGCTGCAGTTAACCAGCCACTTCACTTGTAAACATGGTGTTGATGGGTTTGTGGTGAAGACACTTGTTGCTGCAGCAGCAGTAGTTTTGGCTTAAAGATCTGGGTTTATGATTGAATAAAAACGTTGGAGACAGACAGAGTGTAAACTCACAACTCTACGCTGTCAAATTGTCTTGAAACCGAAAGCACCGTTTCCTCAGATATGGGAAAAGTTTAAATCTATAAGCTGTGTTTCCAAATCTCAAACTTTTTTCTTTTTAACTTTCAGTACATGCAGCTGCCCCTTAAATATAACGTATTTAGTGTTGTATTCAGTATGCCTTCAATTGGGACATGACCTTTGACCCTCAATGTTCATATATCTGCAGCGCAAAGGATTGTGGGTCAGAACAGCCAGAAAAGCATTTTGGCATTCTGCATTTCACACATTTGTGTCTTTTTTTTAGCCCTTTATTCATCATCTAATCACTCAACACACATATACTTTTAATAACTCCTGTTGTCCATCAAAAGATATATTTTCCAGAGACCCATTGTCCCGTTCATCCTCCAGATCTCATGCGTTGGTTTGCTTCCACAGATCCATCCGAGCTGTTGTTATTGTGCCGCTCTGGCACTTTTAGGACGAGGCCCGGAGGCGTGCGGATGTACTTACTCACTACCTCTCTGAGTTTCTCTCTCGCTGGTCTTGTGATTGAAACCTGAGGAGGACTTTGTTTCTAGCCGAGCTCCTAGAACACAGACCTCTGCAAACACAGAGACTAACTTCCTGGCACTGATGCAGAACTATTCCATTAAATCTCATACTATATGCACACAGCGAGCCGTCCTCGGCCTCACACTCTCTCTCTCTTCCTGAAGTGTTTGCATTAGGAAATGGTCCGTGAAATGGGTTTGATGGAATCAAACTCCACATTAAGACAAATACATATCTCACAGCGATGGACTAATTGATGAGGCTGCGTCTTTATTTCCAACGAAGATCTTTATCAAAAAATATGGAGGCTCACGGCTCGTCCTGTGTGGTGACTTTGAATGATTCCTGGTGTTGTTAAGTGTTAAAGAAGAGCTGCCTGTTCTCCTATTGGTGGCCACAAGGGGGCACCAAACTGCCACATGTTGACGTTCTGCTTGTTGATGGTCCGTTTCCCCGTCTGCTGTCATCAGCAACAAACAAACAAACTCACTGAAGGATGACCAAAAAAAAAGGCGTCCTGGATGCAAACTGACATCTGAGAGGAAAGGTGTTTTTATTATCAATGCAACTGTTGTTTTAGCATAACAAGCACCACCTTTCATTAACCTAACAAACCCAAATCCATCCAATTGGACCGGTCGATGGCGACTCGCTGCCCGATGCTGGCGGTCACACCCCTCTGCACAGCCACAATGGGGGGGCTGCACTCCACTAAAAGTAAAAGAATGTGTCTCCACCACCACCACATGGCTGTGTGGGGATTAAGGCCCATTCTGAGTGGCCCCGGGTCGTGCGCAGCAGATGTTAGCCAGGATAGCGCTCGTTGCCGGGCGGGATCGGCCCTGCCCAGACGATGTTAAGGCTATGTACATGTATGGGGGGGGGGGTCACACACACTAATTCATCTCCACTGTCTCTGATCGTCATCACACACTCACAGAAACTGTAAAAACACACTCGTGTGGTCGGCTTCAGTCTGTGAGGTGCGAATGTCATGATAGGAAACACATGTT